CTTTATGAACTAACGTTACGTCTTGGTATAACAGCCTCTTTCTTCTAACCTACTCCTACACTGACAAACATGGCACGTTAGGCGTCGGATGATTTTCGAGTTCAATATTTTAGACACCGTATTAGCCAAACTGATCCATCTGTGGGCATCGCAAGAGGATGTCTTTTCTCATAGACTTGGGAGATCGGAACTTGTCAGACAGGATTACGTCCGAATTCCAAACTCTAGCTAATATCTCGGTCTATCTCATTGTGAAAACTGCATCACCATCCTTAAAGATCGCCGGAATCAACCTATTAGGGTCTATTGCTCTCTCTTACTTTAAACTAACCATACCTTTTTCAAGAATTGAGGTAATCATTTTAATCTATGATTCTGACTATTTCGGAATAATAGGTAAGTGGAGATCGTTATAATATATGATATTAATTGATTCAATTAAAAAGACGGGTGTTTATCTAGAACTACTTGTTCAACGCAGCAATAATAATAGTAATTTATACCATAAAACCTTCACTTACAATAGGTTCCATTATTGACCGTGCTTCTTGAATAATACGGACTGTGAAATCGGTTAGCATTTCTTCAAAATATATACCATTAATATACTTAAGTTTCGGACAAAAATATACCAGCATTTGAGGGTTTAATAACTACAAAAAAACGACAAGTGATTAGGAGATAAATGATGAAATATACGATAAACAGCGGATGACATAATCCGTATTACTAAATATTCCTTCTGATCAACCTAGCAATAGAAAAATTTAAAGGGGTAACATGACCAAGTGATTGTTAGGAGAAATCAACTTAACATTAAGTACTAAATATTGTCATTCGTTTAGGAGGTTAATAAGACATTTTTTGAAATTAGAGGTTAACCAAGACACAAGAAATCACAAACCAACAAGCGCGTTTGTATGACCTATCCAATGACAACTTAGAATGGGAGACCACTTAATAATTTCACGATGAGATTATTTGGTATATCCAAACACATGTTTCTTAGGATATTTCTACGTTATTACGTTTAATCGAGTATATCTCTCATATAGTTCTTCAACAATATCGTGTTTAGGCCAGTTTCCGTAAGATGTACTTTTGATGGTGTTTGTCTTTTAAGGTCATGTATTTCAAACACCGATAAGGAACTACGTGGAACAAAATGTTATGTAGCATATATAGTATTAGAAGGAGCAGAACCAATGTAACGGAAAAAGCTCATTTTATTATTACCTTTGATCAAATGATCAATGAACAACAAGTGTTGTTTCGAAAGTTTTGTATATGATTTGTATTCGTACTAGAAAAGGAAACTCCGAAAGTGATCTCGTAACTAATTATAGTTGGTTTAATCAGTCAACTGCTTTAATAGCTGGGTAAAATTTCAGTGCCAACGCATTCAGATGCACGCTAATTCTTTAGGATTAGAGTACAATGCACTACTGTGTTCGAATCTACAGTCTGCGTGAAAATAAATGAGACTGTTAACCATATGTAAGATTAGGTAGTTGATGTCATATCAATACTATCTTCGAATTGTCTGTTGAATATAGTAGAGCCTTTGTATCTGCAATATTGAGACATCGAATAAATTTCTTTTAAGTTTGTTGAAACATTTGCCTATCTTTTAATGTTTATTTCGTACAGTTCAAAATCAGGAGTGGCTCTACTACCCGTTTAAATATGCTAGTCGATTAGTAGTAGGAATTTCTTTTACTTTTCTTCACTGGTATTGAATTGAATTCTGATTTTACAGTTCAATGACTAAACGTTATTACCTCCACATTTGGCTGTTCAGTTGTTGGTAACAATCAATAAAAAGTACTTGAATCGTTACTCGCCTTTCTTGTAATTTACTTATCATTATACTTGTCTATTATTTATGGTTTAAAAGGCAACTTGGCCACCTGCTTAAATATTTGAGGTAACTATTTTCAAATGTGTAAATGTCGCAAGAAAGTTTGTTATTTTTTGTTTTTTGACTAGCTAGTTTATGTATTGACTGTACAATGTACTTACAGGCTGTTACAGTACACTTACAACACAAACGATGCTAAAATTTAGAAACGAGGGGCGATTAGATTGGAGTTTATGCATCCAATAATGTATGGATTAAAAGAAACCAAGCTGAGTAACTCATAGGAGATATTTGCGATTGAAGATAAATTGCAGATGGTCGCTAATATTAAACCTTTATTTCAAATATATTTTCCGAATATTTATAATTAAAATGTATGTTAAAGAAGGATGTATATCAATAATGTGTATTTTCATACTGGAGATTCCTTTCGATGGAAAAATTTGTTTCCAGAGTAAGATGTTATTATTATTGTTAGCGGGACATAGATTGGATTAAAGCATGTTCCATGCACGATTGTGTTGGTGCACGCTGACTGGGTAATTTTTATCTAGTCAGCGCTAGTCGATGCTTGGAGAAGACTCTAGAATCTCCTCATGTAAAAACTATGAATATACTAACGCATTTCTTATTGCGCTTCTTACTTTCATCTATTCTTGTTACTCGGAATATAACTTCTTCTCTGTTCAACCGTGTTCTGATTTGGGGACTTGTCGAGTGCATTGGTGTCTAAGAATACTAAGCAATAGGAATGACTGGGTAATAATAAAGAAAAATTATAACAATTACCATTACCATTAATACCACTATTAATATTAGATGATAGTAGTGGTAGTGCCATACTTATAAATAGTATATGAGTGTTTATTATGACACTTTACATACATATTGCAAAGAACAAAAACCAGGCATACTTGTTTCAGTTTGTCGTCTAAATTCAATCGAATGAGTTTAGGAAATTGTTCAAACAACGGTAGGTGTATAAATCTATTCCCTGTAATGCTAAGTTTTGTTAACTGCGGTAAATGCAGACGTCTGGGGAATACGCGTAATGCATTCTCTGATAAATCTAATTCACGCAGATTGATGCATTTAGCAAGATCACTAGTATTTATGCTTGTATATCCGGAAGCTGGGACAGACAGGACACGAACACGATCCAGACATTTTGCTTTGGTTACACACAAGATCTCATCTTCATCTAAAGGTCGATCATCTTCTTCGACGGATAAACTTAGAGGACAGTTTGCTGCAAATGGATGTAAAAGGTGAAGATATTTATACGAGCAGCATGGTCGGTGTGAAACAACTATGATAAAATGATTAAATATACTAAACACTAACCTCAATACAGAGAACTGATGGATGCTCGGAAACTCATCCCGCCTGGCTCCAAACACAATGAGGAGCGGAGGCAGTTTGAATGTAGGCTAATAAAAAGCCTACGCAATGATCGTGAGCAGTGGTCGACAGCAAAAGCTGAAAAGATGGAGAAGGCTGTGGTGATAAGTAACAGCAGACAACTGTTTAGACCAACCAAGAAGACGGGTAGTAAAATCCGGCTTTTAATCAGACTATCTCGGAAACAGATGGGGTTATTATTCACTATCAATCCTGAATGGAAAATTGATGTAAGTCGTCCAACTCTTATTGAGGGTGAAAAAGATATAAGCAATCTGAAGCGGGAGGATAAGAGACAGGGATGGTGGACTAACCCCTGAGATTTTTAAAGATGGTAGTCAGTCAGTCAGTTACAATGTAGGAACAGGCACATATATACATCGGTCCAAGTTGCCATACCTCATTAGCACAACAAGATGAACATCAAACTCATAAAAGTAGTCACTTCAATGGTGGTAATATATAAAAGAAAGATTGCATATAAGGATATAGTATAGGAAGAAAGAAACATAAGAAGAAATTTTAATCTCATAGTTTAAGTGAAGACAAAGAGTATATACACCGACGCCATTGTGATCGATTCTGAGCCATGTCACCTAGAGTCTCCAACCATTGGTTACGATAGTCACGCGGACCCCAACCAAGTATTCTGCATCTACCAACATGGCTCAGATCAGAATTTAGTGATTTCAAGCACTGATGCCACGTTTGGGTTCGGCCGCCCCTAACTCTCTTCAAACCATCCCCAATACTAGTCAGCATTGCTCGTCGTGATAATCGGTGTTCAGGCATACGTAACATGTGGCCCAACCATCTCAGTTGATGAAGACTCACAACCTCACCAACTGATATACCGTCATTCCCTAATACCCTGCGTCTAACCTCACTATTACTTACCCGGTGATCCCACTAGATGCGAGCAATATTTCTAAGACATCTGTGGTCAAATATTAGTAACTAACAAGTATCTTCTACTCTTAATGGCCATGTTTTACAGACGTAAAGTAGGACAGAGCGAACTGCTGCGCAGTATACTCGTCCCTTAATTGATAGATGGATATCTCGCCTTCGCCATAGGTGAAGTAAGTTGGCAAAAGCCAAACGAGCTTTTTGAATCCGTGCTGAGATTTCGTCAGACACCAACCCATTAGGGCTGACCAGACTTCCAAGATAAGTGAAGTTGTCGACGCGTTCGACTACTCACTTACTCCGTATTCTTAGTTCGGGTGTTGACGCAGGCCAGTGCTGAAGCAACAATCTGCATTTAGATGTGTAGAAACGCATCCCAAATATCCTGGCATTGTTGCTCAGTGCTGACAAAAGACTTTGTATTTTACCAGTGTCTTCACCAAACAGGACTATGTCATCTGCGTATCCTAAGTTGAGAAGTGGACCTCCTGGTAGAAGATCAATTCCTGAGAATTCAGTCGACGAGTGTTATTTCCAGCAGTAAGTCTATGGTGAAATTAAACAGAAGTGGAGATAGTAGAAAACCTTGTTGGACACCACTTGAGGTTGTAAAATCAGATGACAGTTCACCATAAGCTGTGACTCGACTAGTAATGTTCAAGTAAAGAGCCTTCACAATGTTTATATACTTCTGAGGTACGCCTTTCAATTACAGACATTGCCATAGAACCTCTCGATTTACAGAATCAAGTGCTACTTTCAAGTCAAGAAAAATCATCAATTCCTGAAAATTCAGACGAGCCAGATGGGATTACATCCACCTCCCAAATTTTAGCTAAAATATTAGTCAACCCAATCGCTGAAACTGGATCACCATACCTTAAAGACTTCTGTAGTTAATTCATCTGGACCAGCTGCTCTTCTTTGTTCCAGATCAGCTACAGCTTTCTGAACTTCAGTTAAAGTCGAAGGGACTATTTCAATGTTCTGTTCAGGCTGTTTGGAAATGGTGAGTCGCTGAAGGTCAGCTGAACTGCTCCTTGAAATGTTCCGCCCATTGTATTCAACGTCTGAACTGAGGGCAGACAATGTCTCTCCTTATGCTTAAAGGCGGTGCTTGTTAGAAATGGGCGATTGTCTGAGCACAGTTGCAGTAGATGGTCACCAATATCTGTTTGCTGAGCCTGAATACCAAAATACCCACTTAAATTCCTTTCTGTTTGGTTTAGGCTACCCACTTGAGCATTAAAATCACCTGCTACCATTGAAGTAAATACTTTTATGAATCTGGTGTTCATCTTGTTTTGCTAATGAGGTGTGGCAATTTTGACCGATGCATATATGTGCCTGGTTCCGCGTTTTAGCTGACTGACTGCTACGAGCATTATGTTTGAGTGTCTAGCTTTTTTGAAGTTTAGAAAGATTTCTGTGAAGTTCATCTCCCACTTCATCCGGGCTGTAGTTATTGGGAGTGAAAGCAGAAATGACGAAAATTCAACGACGTGTATCCCTACCCCTCCAAGTTCTTACGGAGCCGTTTAGCCGAACAGTATATGGGCGACTGTTAACACGGATCCATTCTAAAAATGCTTGTTCTGCCTTCATGATTAGTGTTATGCCTACATCAATTAGTCCAGGTAAACGGAAGGTGTATCACGTCAGCTCCCCTTTCTGGCTAGGTGAGGTTAAGTGAATGACCACACAAGGATTCTGTATGTGTTTCGTAGACACAACATAATACAGTGGTACAAGGTTCCAGGGTCCTGAACAAGGACGTCTGCTGGCCGATTTGACACAAGGTACGAACATTGAAGGCTTCAATGTGCAGTTTGGAGTGAAGTTTAAGTAGACCTGGTGTTATGATTCTTTTTATTACTACCCAGCTGCCCTTATTGCTTAGTATTCTTGGACACCACTTCACTCAACAAGTCCCCAATCCAGAACAAGGTTGAACAGGAACGTGATTATATAACAAGATTGAATGGAAGTAGTATCACAACAAGAAAAACATTAGCACACTTATAATTTTTATACAACATTCTAGAGCTTATTGGTTATTTCTTAACTAATCAGCGTACCCCAACACAATCCTACACGGAACTTGCTTTAATCCAATCTACATCCTGCTGACACTTGCCGCATATATATTTTGTGTCTCCTTGTACCAATGTTTATGTTTCTGAATAAATAACACCTGGGATAATATTTCGCGTACTAGAATCGTTGGCCATGGTGACACGTGAGGAGGAAGTTTAGAGTTGATAGTCAAGGTGGCAGGAATGATGGGAATTGAAGAGGATAATTGATTATGAATACAGTAGTCTTGAGTGCTAGAGGTATGAGGGCAGTTATAACTTTTCGGTTGTCCACACGGTGGAGAGGTCCTTCTATAGGTACCTGAAAAGGAAATTGGGTTAGAATTGGTCTTAGTGACCTGATAGTGTGTCCGCAATGCCCAAGGTACAACTGCTTGGGGCCAATCACACACGACCCTTTTGTGGGTAGTCTATTTGCTAGATTCGTACTTGTTAAGACCTTACTGCAGGAAAAGAAAATCCGTGGGATAAGGCAAAGTATGCATTTTTAGGGTCGACCTTCTCTAACCCCACCCTACCTGTGAGAAGGTTGCATCGCTGTCGTGCTGGTTGTGAGAGACATCTTACTTCTGTCACACCTCTGTACAGTCAGGACAACGACTTCACCCTCGGACCCTTGATTTGCTGCTTTTAGTCTTACCGCTCTTCAACTGACCTACCTGGTATGGTGGGACTTTGGAGAACGATTGTTCCAGCCAGTATAGCTCGACTGGTTCATCACGACAAGAAAGTCTGACCATCACGTCAAGGCAGAAGTAACGGGCAGGATCCGACACCAGATGGCGTTCAAACGTTGATTGTAAGGTTTTGTGGTAGTGTCTGCCACTAAAAGGTATACCAAAGGAGCATATTAACCTTTTTACAGGCTCTCTACTCAACACTACGGGCCGAGTCAGAGCTTATGGAGAACTGTAATCGGAATTGGTTACTTCAAGTGGTGTTTGTCAGGGTTGTACACTTTTTCTATAGGATGTCTTCAAAGCAATTCCCGTGTATTTCGGGACCACAGAGTAAACAGTCTGAGTTGGAAATAGGGTACTAGGTAAAGGAGGTAAGTAGATTGATGAGGTAGTATAACCTTATTGGCTGAGGCGAACTGGACATGTGTTACGTATGCCCAATCACTGCCTACCTCAACGGCGATATTGTCGGTGTAGTACGTTGGAAGAAATCCGGAGGCAGCCAAACCGAAATATGGCTCCAGTCCATGAATTTACTGACAATTGCACTGAGCTATGTTAGTAAGGGTCGATTACCTGGTTGGGATTCGCGTTATTATCATAATCAATAGTTAAAGACTTAGGATGACATGGCTCGGAATTGTTTGCAATGGCGCATGTGTATTTATCCTATTTTCCACCAAAGTCTGAACTTCTAAATTTATCATAGCTTGCTTTTATTTTAACAATTTACATTTTCTCAAGTCGTATCTACGATACCTAATCTTTTCAATCACCAATGATAAAGTTACTACCCCTACCGTTCTGTGACCTAGCCGGACAATTTCATTTCTCTGTCCTAATGGGGTATGGTGACTTGAATCAATGCGCATTCGTACCAGGTTCTACGTTGTAACTGACTAACAGATCACTCTAAACCCAATTGAATTTATCAATACTGCACTGGTTGATAGCTGAGTAGTATCCGGTATTTTTCTAGTTTTTAGTGCTGATTGAGTTCCGTCGACTACGTCATAATATGATCACCAGTCTAAGCATAGCTCAACATTGTGAACACGAAAGCTAGATTCGGAGCGTTCAGTCGATTGCTCCCGGCCACCTACCTATCAACATTATTTATTAAGCTCACTAATGAAGTACAAGCTCTCGCAGTAGATTTCGAGTTACAGTTATTTCATGAAAACTAGTGGCAGCATCCTGTTGCCAAAGTAAGAGGGCGTTTGAAGCTACCATTTAACTGTGAGTTGACTGCTTGGAAATTGGACTATAGCTTTATAGAGAGGATTTTACTACTCAGCGACTGTTTGAAAGATTGTATAGAGATACAAAAATAAAATTGAACTGAGACAATTGTAGACCAATTTAGATCCAGTAAATATTAAAAAAACAGTTTATAAATTTTGCTTCGGTTTGGGCACTCGGACAGTATCTCAGTCCTCACATAAATCAATAATAACTGCTAATGGTGCCATTGTTGTTGTGTGGTGCATATCTATTTGGTGCCCCCTTGTACTAATGTTTATGTGTTCAAATAATAAATAAATCAATCAACAGTATAAGATCTATGTCATCGAAACTTTATTTACTAGACAAACAAAACAACTAACTTTTATTGAGTGAAGCATAAAACGTTAACCTGTGAAATGCCATACAATTGGTATTGTAAACACTCAGGTACATGAACTTGTGTTTGGCCTATTAGCTAAACAATAAAATCTTAAAGTACTTCCTCGCGAAAATGATTATTGAACCTTAGAATAAGCCAATCCAGATATTGACACAAAAATTCGCATGTCCGTCAAAGTGATTTTGAGGTCAGTGATACATGCGTTTATTAAGCAGAAAACGAACACAACATTAGCAACCCACAACTGATAAGTTCCAATACTAAATGTACGCTCAATCTTTATTAGGTCTCACAATTTAGTTAGTGTTCTCAATCTTCAGTTCGCTACTTTAACAGATGTACTATCCGTTTTAAGAAACTAGACCAATATACTAATAACGTAATCCGTTTCAAACGTACTGATTCCTAAATAACCATAATTTTCAAGTCATAGGGTAGGTTAGGCAAGTAATGATCTGTGCAAAAATTGGTCAGTTGACTCTCACTAAATATCTACTTCTTAATAAAGCTTTTCCTGTGAATAGTAGGTTCAACTCCGAATATCTTCAGCCCAATAAAATATAAGATATGAATGGGGTGATTTGAGTAAGCTGAATTCGAGAGTTAATTTAATGAAAGTGCACTACTAGTGAGGTCAATCATACTCGTTGATCATTGTAAACATCTTGTGATTGTCCAGTTCAGCTACGAAACTTTCTCACTGAAAACGAGTCTGGTAAACATCTGTTTTGAGCAGGTAATTTGAACAATCAAAAAGGATAAATCGGCAATTAAATGTAACAAAAATTATTCCTTAGATTTATCTATTTGTCGTGATACAAGTTACAAAAATTCCAGACAATACAACAATTTAACTAATGAAGAGAATTACTAGTGTAGGATGAAACGAGTAAATTATGTGATACTTAAAAAATATATCTAATAAACTTACCCAGCTCACTGTCAGTCCTAGGATCCACGATAGTAAACTGTGCACGACCAAGTTCTTCTAGTTGACTATCTGAAAGCTGGGCGATAGCTTGACTGCCTCCCAGCAACTGAACAAGTTCACTATTATCTAGTCCTGAGTGACCAAGTTCATCATCAAATCCCAACATTCCGCCACCTAGACTTACACTTCCACCTACTGAGTCAACATAATAGGGTACACCGGAAGAAACACCATAACCAGATAGTCCACCGAACATATCCATTCCCGATAAACCCAAAGAATCGCTACTAGGATAGGAATCACCCTGTAAACGTATTTGAACGACGTCGCTGGACGATCCCAGAGAGCTGACGCCAAGCCCATACTTGCTCCCAAGCCCACGAGTTGATCTGCAAAAAAAGCCAAGATTTAATTCCAAAAGCATGAGCAGATCTTCCTAGCAATAGCACAAGACGAAACTATCAAGATGAATATCAGAGATTGAGATAATGAAGTTGCAGCGACAATGAGGAAGACCATGGATCGAGAACAGAGTTCGGAAGGACAAAGTAGAAGGGTACATATGGAGGAATACTGAAATTTAAGATCGAGAGGAAGTAAATGTAAATGTGATGTTGCGAACGATTTCGAGCCATGCCACCCAGTCTCTGGTCATTGATCATGCGGACCCAAACCAGATAGTCTGCACTAGCCTACATAGTCCAGTTTAAGTCAGTGACCTTACGGACTGATGTCACGTTTAAGCTTGGTCACTTGTACCTTTTTATGGATAAGAACATGCTTTTCTGATAATCCACAAAGCACACAAACAGCTACTAGAATCACCCCAGGATAGTGTCAAAAAACATGACGTCATGAAACAGGAATCAAAAGGGTAATTATAGAAATGCCTTCTAGTACTCTGGTATGGCCTGGAGTAGCAAGTCTGCCCTTTCTCTAGAAATTCTCTCATATGACCACAAACTAACACCCATTTTCAGGGAATTGCCACTTACTGCCTTCTCTTAATGGTGTCGCTTAAGAA